CGGCAAGCAGCTCGAGGATGGCCGCACCCTTGCGGATTACAACATCCAGAAGGAGTCCACCCTCCACTTGGTGCTCAGGCTCCGTGGTGGCATGCAGATATTTGTGAAGACCCTCACCGGCAAGACCATCACCCTGGAGGTGGAGTCATCTGACACCATCGACAACGTGAAGGCGAAGATCCAGGACAAGGAGGGCATTCCCCCGGACCAGCAGCGCCTCATCTTTGCTGGTAAGCAGCTTGAGGATGGCCGCACCTTGGCGGACTACAACATTCAGAAGGAGTCAACCCTTCACTTGGTGCTCCGTCTCCGTGGTGGCCAGTAAGCTCCTGGCCATGGAGCTGCTTTTGTCTCTGGGTTCACAAGTCTCGTCTTCGGTGTCCTTAAGGAGTCTGGTCTATGTCTGTCGTTGCCTGAACTGTCTTTGTTTCTATACCGTACTATGATGCAGTGTTATCGTTTGTATCTGCAAACTTCTGCTGGTGTGCAGCAGCTTTGATGAACTTAATATTAAGTGAGCCCTGAATTCAATCCATAATATTGTTTGTCTTGCCTGATGTTTCCTGTTGTGTTATGTGGTTTCTTGTGATATTTCTGATGCATTTGATCTGCTTTTGGCACATGTTTTCTGGTTGGTGACCTCTATGCTCTATCCTCTGAAATGCGTGTGTTCAAACAGATTTTGTTTTTTGTACTTGCCAACTTTCTGGCCTGTAGAATCCCTTTGATCCTCAAATTTTCTAAGATACGTGGAGTCCCGTGTGCTGGTCGTTGCCCCATTTTATTCAAACATATGTGTGTTCTTGCTGATCTTGTGCTTGTGTTGGCTGCATGACCCCTGATGCCCTCTCGCACAGGCGCGGCTGCTGTAGACGCGGCGACCTCCAGCCAAAGACGTGGGGCACCGGCGCTGCAATGTTGGGGCACCGGCGCTGCAATGTTGGGGCGTCCGGTGACAGTGAGGGTCGTTCCCTGTTGCTGGAGTTGCCGTTGCAAAGTGGGTGGACGTGGGCCGCTACAAGGGTCTAGCTTGCCACAATGACAATAAGACACGAGCTGAAGTTGCAACATGAGGTCTTGTTATAATTGCAACAAGTGAAAGAGGATAGGATCGTGAGATCGGACTGGTCACCCGGCCAATCTTTTCCAAAGATCAGCCGGCCGATCTTTTCCAAAGATCAGCCAGCCGACGAGTAGCAAGCCCTAAGAAAACAATGCTCACATGGTTTTGTTTGTCCCAATTTTCAATTATTGGTATGTAGCATTTTGGATAATGTATTTTTTCACAAGTGCAAAACTTCCAAGTTACATCATTTTTATGAAAAAATCTGGGCTATGCAATCGTATAAAAATCGCGTTGCGCAACCCATATGCCACTTTAACTACGTACCAACATGATCTAAACCTTAGTGTATCCCTGATCTACCACAAGCTGTTTCCGAGTTGCTATCTCTCTCTTGATACATCATCGCTACCTTTCTCTTGATACCTCCCATTCCTATCCAGTGGTTGGTTGATGAGATAGTGAGTGACAAAGACAAAAGGAAGATGAATTAATCAATCAACGATTGTCATCATTTGAAAAAGATGTCGGGAACAATAGGGAAAGTAAGAGAGGTTGCATAAATATGATGTAGTTTAGCTTCGGAAGTATTTGCGATAAAGGTGATACATTTGATGGCATGGAGAATTTGAGACCACATACCACGTGCAATGTTAGGTGCAAAGAGTTAATCCCGTTGAAGGTTAAAATTAATATACTAGTTAAAATTACACATGTGTATATATACATGTTGTAAGGAGACGAGGACCCAATATGATTTGAACTTCGATTTGTTTTTGTGTACCCTCTTATGATATCCATGCTAAAAAGTTATGTGTGACGAGCTAAGTTTTGAAGAATCTGTATCATATCCCACCTTATTTTAGGCGGAGACAGTGTATTAGGGTCTTCTAAGTTTTAGTGGCCTTCTTCGCAAGATAGTCGTAGTCGGCATTTCTTCTTGTAGGCTATGAAATTTGTAGTGTCGCCATGAAATGTGGAGGCGCTAGGGCTAGATGCCTTATTGATGCTGATTGTAAGCATTGCTCTCATTGTCTTTTATTTTTCTCTTTTAGTTATGTGGGTATGTTGACTCTGTGTTGCGATGCTTTATTAGATCGAGTTTACTTATTTTGTCTTACCTTAATGCTTTAATAAAAAACTATTATTGAAAAACACCTCTTATGTTTTACTACCTACATGGTGGCAATAACATGGCTATTATTTTCATACGCAATGTCATTACGCCGATATGATACCATATTCTGAATGAGGGCATATGGACATAATCATGTCATTTTCAAGCACCTAAAATGTTTGATAAATTTGATGTCACAAAATCTCTCTTTTTTTAATTAGTTTCCTTTTTTTAATTTATTGTTCATAAGGGTATAGGCACTACATGTATCAGCTTATTTGTCTGCCATGGCAGACGGCAAAGGAACCAAAAGCAGACGGCAAACTTCTTTGCTGTCTGTCGCTGACGGGAAAGAAAGCTACGATAAATAGGTTCTTTGCCGTCTGTGTCCTCAAAGCGGACGGCAACAACCCTTTGTCGTTAGTGGCAGACGGCAAAGAATATGGACGGCAAATAACATGCGTTAGCCATGTTAGGTGGCTAACGGGAGGCTTTGCCGTCTGCTAGGGGACAGCAAACATGCCCTCCCCTTTGCTGTGTGCTATCTGATGTCAGGCACGCGTCATGCCCCCCCAAGCCTTTGCCGTCCGCCACAGACGGAGAACTCCTTTGATTTTTGCTAATCATTTATTGGTCATCTCTTTCTAACTAGTGTGACCGGTGTACATCCACGCACGATCACTCATCTTGCCTAGCTACTGGACAGACAAGAAATGTATATAATTCAGCATGTATATCCATCAGTTAATCTAGTTTGTCAATTTTAGTACGTCCATGCAACCTACACTCTAATAGGTAAAGATATGTCCTAATCCCACCCGAGTATGTGTGGATTGAGTACGTTCTCCATGCTTTACCCCATTCTGAGACAAAATTTCGGTAGCACCTCCCCGCTGTTCTCATGATACACGTCTCGCAAAAAGCCGAGAGAATGTGCATCCGGAGAACAACAGGGAGGCGCTGACGAAATTTTGTCTTGGAATGGGGTAGAGCATGGAGAACGTACCCAATCTACACATCCTCGGGCTGTCCGTGGAAATCGCTGGACAATCCGAATGAGTTATGTGATAAATATGCAACTGAATGCATATTTATCGATGCAACCCTTTCGGACGGGAGACACATACTGGTTACGCGACTTAGCATGAAAATGAAATCTACTGACATGATTAAAAGAGCGTAGGAGGTGAAGGTGGATTCGTAGCTCACCCTTGGCTATAGAGGAAGTAGTCGAACAATGGCGAGATCACAGACCAAAAACTTCGACCACGATGGCTCCAAGGAGATGAAATAGCACAAAGCCTGTAAATTTTAGCGATCAAGTCAAGAAAATTTACGACATCACATCACATAAAGTATCGACACTTCAAACTATGAAAAAAACTTCGACCCCTCGGTGATCCTCGACCCCGACCCCTCGACGATCCTCGACCCCTCGACGACCCTCGACCCTCGATCCCTCGGAGATCCTCGACCCTCGACCCCTCGACCTTCTTTTCCTTCTTTTCTTTCTTTTTCTACTTTTTCTACTTCTTTTTTTCATCTTCTTCAAGTTAATGCTTGCATAGGCGGGTGGTGGGGCGGCACGGCGCAGTGGCGAGGGCGGTGGGGGTCGGGGGCGGCGGCGGTGGCGATTGGGGTCGGGGGCGCGGTGGAGTGAGAGGGCAGAGAGAGTGGGAGGTGGGGTGGGGGCGGGCCGTTAGGTAGCGTTTGGTTTGCCGTCTGCTGGCAGACGGTAATGGGGTGGGGCTGATGGGCCATTAGGGTTTAGGCCTCCACTGGACCCCACCCATCTCTTTGGCGTCTACTAGCGGACGGCAAAAAAGGCTGATGGCAACTAGGCTCTTTGCCGTCAGCCATGTCTTTGCCGTTCGTTTTTTATAAGCAGATGGCAAAGGCCTTCTTTGTCGTCCGCTAGCAGACGACAAAGAGCTGACTGGTGGCAAATTCTTTGTTTCCGGTAGTGAGGGACACTGGGCAGCTACCACACCTTTCTCTAAAATCTTTACTAGTCAAAAAGGTTTACTAACACCTGAAAAGGCAAATAATGTTATTCCTGCGAGGACTACTCTTTTTCGTTTCTTTGCTGAAAGTTCAACATCAGAGACCAATACCTTGTGCATCTACATGGCATCAATTTATCAGATTCAACGAAAGGAGGTTGACAAATTTTCACTTGATATGCCGTATTATTATATGCATCCTCCTCGCATGGTAATTGCACCTTCACCAGGAGATGAGAACTCAGGGAGAGGAGAGACAAAGAAAAATCCAGGAAATGCAATGATGTGAAACTTCACCATCATTCTGTATTTATTTTGACTTGAGGTTTCACAATATGTTGTGGTTTATCTTTCATGGATTTGGTAACAGGTTCAGGGATTCAGGCTCCACAAGCTATTAATTTGTTTTGTTGCATAGCGGCAACAAACCAAAGAAATATATATCTTTTCCCTTTCACTCCACAAAAGGAAGATGTTATCAGCTGCATTTATCTACTAATTTGTATTGTGAACAAGATATATATTTGAATAATTTTGAA